TCGAGGCTTCGGATTCCGCCGGTTCTACTGCATCTTCGTGTTCAACATCATGACATTGGGAACCGTAGCGTCCGATTCAGGCTGTTCAGAATTAGTAGGGTTATCCTCTTCTTCATGGGGTTCCGATTCACCGACAGTTCGTTCGTCTCTGAAATGTATCTGGTAGATGTGCCGTCAGTGGACAGATGCATCTGTCAAATCGGTTATCTCCACCATTGACTGACCCAAGTTTCTAGTGATGATTCCACAAACCGGGCGCAGATCGTTGCCCCTGAAGTATGTCACATCAGTAGAATCCATACATATCAGAGAAGATCTCAGGTACCGTGAATTAGCTTTGCCGGACTTTCCTTCGTGGACACATGTGTCGCGTTCCGGTATTGCAGCAGGAAGTTGTCCAGAAACGCCTCCAAGTCTGCAAGTGATTTCGGATTCGCGGATGTCAGTGCACTCTTGACTGTTTTCACAAGATACTCACCCTGGCCATTAGAACAGGGATGTCTCCGGGCTGCACATAAATGTCGACATCCAATGCTATCGAGCCAAGCTTTCATCTCCGTGACACTGAATTGATATCCATTGTCTGTGACGAGCACTTGCGGTATACCCTCCAGACTGAAGCACTTCCGAGGAGCATGGATCACGTAGGATGTTGTTGGCATACTTGTCAGAAATACTTCGGGCCACTTTGAGTAGGAATCAATGAGAACCAAGGCTAAGCTCGATTCAGAAATAAGCCGCAGAAGTCCGCATGTACCCGTTGCCATGGTGCATAACTTTCTGGCCATGGGGTCCAGTTTTTCGGTTTCGCCTTTACTTTGTGCAGGCACGCCTGGCAATTCTTCGCATTTGTGCAAATGTCTGCATCCAAATCAGACCAGCAACACATTTGTCGAGCCAGGAATTTCATCTTCTCCACTCCCAAATAGCCTTTGTGGAGGTCCTCTAAGACTGCTTTTCTTAGCGGCGGAGGTATGATCAGTCGATCACCGCGGCAGAGCACACTGTCTGGCTATACAGCCAACTCCTACCGTTGGATGTAGAACTGAGAATGTCTCTTCTTTATATCAAGCGGCCATCCTTTCTATAGGGCCGAAATAATCACGGAGTAGTATTGTTTTATATATTTTCTCAACGCTTCCCAGGAAACTGGTGATGGTGGGGCGACAAAATGGCATTTCTCTGCGGCGCCAAAGCGTGAGTACCTGGACAGGATAGGATAGTCTGTCTGTGGAATCGTCTTGCCTGGCCGGTGTATAATATCATAATCGTACGCTGCCAGTGCAATACTCTATCGTTGAATCATGGCGACTGTTGCTTTAGCGACAGACTTGTTGGGGTTGAGTAAGAATTGTAGCGCCTGATGATCCGTCACAATAGTAAAGTGCAGTCCAAACAAAGACTTGTGCAATCTGCGGACAGCCCAAAACACCGCGCAACCCAGACACAACATTGTCTATCGTGGACTGAAAGATTCCGGATGATACATGCAAACCGAACGGGAGGAAATTTTCTGGAACAATCCCCACGGTGTATTGATCGTCGTAAATGCCCGCGAATCTGGATGTAATGGAATTTGAAGATAGACATCTGCCAGATCAATTTTGGAGAATAACTGATAACCGTGTAGGGATTTCATGAAGTCCTCTGTCTCCATGGTCGTCGCTGCACAATTTCGCAATCGGGGATTGAGTGTCAATCGATAATCACCACATATCCTCGGAGTTCGCCATCACTTTTCATCACGACAACAATAGGAGTTTCCCATGTTAATGACGTCACGCTGGAAATGACAACAGTCTTCATGCGATCGATCGCATTCAGCACACCTTCGCGTTGTCCATATGGTAAGACACCCCTTTTCAGGGATACGGGTTCACCGTCGACCTCCAAAACTGCCTCAGGAACGCTCATTCCTCTCGCATTCTCAGTACATCGGATTACCAGCTTTCGAACTTCCTCAGTTGTATCGGATTTCAGTTCGTTGGTATGTAGGGATAAGGAATGTCCCAGCGTTCTCATCACCATCAATCCAAGAATAGACGGACTGTCTTGTGACACCAAGAATTGAATGGGCACACAACTGTTATCTTGGGAATGAATCGACAAAATTGTCTCATCCATTAGCGGAAGGTGTCTAGTTACACCATGGATTCGTGTTGTTGTCGGTTCTACGGTGGCCTTTGGGCATACATGTTTGAGAGCTCCACGTGAAATGATGGACTCACCACTGCCGGTATCCACAATAAAACTGTGTCGAGTGCCGAATTCGAAAGTAATATCCCTGTAAATGAACTGCTTGAATTCGC